ACAAGGTTGGCAGTTCAAACGCACTAGTTCCTCCTTGAAAAGCCTATAGTGGTGATACCAGTAACTCATGGGAATTCTCCCGGACTACTAAGGAGTCGCTGACTCAGGTTAGGTGTTGGGGATGTAAGACATTAAGACAACAGGAGTGCAAGGGGAAGAGTTTAATAGAAGGCAAAAATACACTCCAAGGGCGAGCGGGTCTTTTTCAGAAAGCTAGGGAGATAGGTGTCGAACACGGCTGTCTAGGAATATTTATTCTTTAAAATGTCCATCTCGGGCATTCTTGTAGCACATAGGCTAATCTCTGTGTCCTTATCCTATCATCTTTGTCACTACACCTGTGGCTGTTAATGGTCTGTTCTACCTGTGACCACTGGCGCCTTTCTTATCTGGCTGTCTTGTCACTTAGCATGCTACTGTGGGAAAGGCCTGCTCCTCTTTCCCAGTGTGGTCGATGGTGTCTGTTCCTCCTCCATCACATCCCTGCTTTATCACTGGGACACTGAGTCAGATCTGACTGTAGGATAAGTACTGGACTGTTAACTGCAAAGTTGCAGTTTAAACTCACTAGCTGCTCTTCAGAAACCCTGTACCGGGTCGCTGTGAGTAGGTACCAAGTCAATGGCAATTAAAAACAATGCATTCAAAAATTGCTGTTAAGTCTCTGGGACCGTAAAGATCAATGCTATCCACAAGGAACTAAAAATAAAAACGCTGCAGGTGCAGGGGGGGCTCAAAGGAAGACTACAATATCCCGACTGCAAGATTATAGTAAGCCTCCCACTTTCAATAAAGTTGGAGAGGAACCGCAGAAAACACCCAAACCTCTCTAAGACCTACGCCGGAAACCTGATGGCCCGGAGTCACGTGGGCATATGTACTGCAGTCGCGCCTTCCCAGTCTGGCCGGAAGTGGCGCGTTCGCGCCTGCCCAGTGCGCACTGTCTGGGTGGGGTCTTGCCGGTTTCAGCAAAATCCTCCGGGCCACCGTAGTGCTTGCCTCTGGCCAGTTCGTGAGCAATGGAGCTGCTGGGTAGCCGCGGGGACAGCCACAACTCCTCCGCAGACCCGCGAAGCACGTTCGTCTTGAGTAACCTAGCAGAAGTGGTAGAACGCGTACTTACCTTTCTACCCGCCAAGGCGTTGCTGCGGGTTGCCGGGTGAGGAACGAGCATGCGGGACGCTTACCGCAGGCATGGGGTGGGCAGAGCCTATCGTGATCTAGGGGTGCCCCAGCTCCCCAGCCCTGCGGTGACGCTGCCTCTTTCCTGGTACTCCTGCCGAAGGGCTCCCAGAGATTCCTACACGAGGGGCGAAGTTCCCCTTAAGAGTCTTTGGGTGTCTGGCTTTTCCTCTGCACCACCGCCCCAACATCTGCCTCTCCCCGGACTGTGGATCTGGCAGGGGGCTCCGGCTGCTACGCGAATGGGCGGGGGACTGCGGGCGGTGGAAATGACGGTCTGTTGGCGACCTTTCGCATGTTTGCGCCCCCAGCGTCTGCCGCTTATGGAGGGAGTGTGTGCGCCGAGTGTTGCGGGCCCATCGGAGTGCGACCTGGATTGCTGCGGGTCCGGCGGAGGCCGGCCACCTGGAGGGGCATTGCTTGGTCCGCGTGCTAGCCGAGGAGCTTGAGGCAAGTAAGCAGGGGCTTAGCAGTCTTTGGGAGTGATACCTTTTTTTTTTTTAAGGTTTTTGTTGTGGATTGAGTGAAAGTTTACAGGGCAGATCATCATTTTTACATTCAACAAATCATATACCTTGTTTCATTACAATGATTATAATCCCCTCCATGTACTATATTTCTCTCTATCCACTTTAGTTTTTTAAAAAACAAAAAAACATTCAGGCATATATAATAATTTTCATCTCCAAAGGGCACATTCTGCTTCTCTGGATAAGGTCCTGCATTCTGCTTGTGTGCTTCTCCCTTGATGGTCCTAGGGTTCTCTGTTTCCGGACTGTAAGATTAACCACCCTGTTTTTGTTACAAAACTTCTACCCTTAAAATTATGACAGTCGCAATTAGTCATGGTAACAGTTACTGTTGAATTACGTGAATCTTATCCTCATGTCTTTTCACCAGACCCATCTAGACAAGATGAAATGTATTCAGTGGGGACTCTTTCTTCCCCCCGCCCCCATACTCTTAAACTAAACTCACTCTTGAAATCTTGTAGGCCAGATACTTCCCTGCCTTCATCGCCCCCTCATTTTATATAGCCAATGTCTAAGTTGCCTGTCTCTATTTACCCTGTATACACAGGGGATAGCACTGATACTTGATGTGAAGACTCCTTCCCTCTCTGTTGGTATTTAGAATAACAACCTCTCTGGTTATAGGTCAGGTTCATCAAATTGTAGCAATTTACCCTAATTTCTTTTATGGAAAAAACAATTTTTTTTTTCTTGTAATCTTCCTCTATTCGAGTTCTGATTATCGAGCCATCAGGATAGGTCAAATTGGTACTGTATGCAAGTTTGGGTGTTCTTGTGCATCTCCCCTCGCTTCCTATCAGTTGGATGCTTCCCTCTCAGCTCTAGGCCTCTGTGGCTATGTCCTTGTCCACGAGCTCAAGTGTCCTCAGGTCTCACCATACTTTGGACCAACCAGCCTTCCTTTTCTCTCTCTCATCTCCAGGTCAGTGTGAGTCAATGGACTGTGGTTGAACTCAGCCCATTTCTTCATTGCTGCCTTTTCCCCTCTTGTACTCACCAATAGACCAATATGGTCGCCAGCAAGCCTATGTGCTTGTTTGTGCATTCCCTTTGAGATTCAGTCTTGGCGGGGAGTTTGTCCTCAAGGACAAACTTGATTGCTTGCCTTAATGGCTTTCTGGGAACTGCTTGCTTATTCTTGTAGTAGCCAGTCATGCTGACACTTTTGTTTTGGGTTTTTCCTGATGATCTTTCTTTGAAGATGTATCTTCTGTCACTCTAGCTATTCCAGGCTGGTCTGCTTGTTCTTTCTAGTGGGAATGTCCCACTGCATAAGGTTCTGGATGGGACTCAGGATTCCACCTAGGGTCCTATACTCTGCAAAGGCTTTGCAAGAGGCCCATTTCACTGGGCAAGTTCTGGAACCGCTTTTAGATATTCCAGTCAATTATAGGCTGAAGATGGGCTTTCTGTAATGATGTTTCCCAGCATTCCTTTCTATTCCACTCAAGTGTAGGCAAAGGAAACTAATATTCATAAGATAGCCAAGCATTTTATTATTATTTCCCCTCTTCTTTAGAGATCCCTCTATCCCAGAGCCCTATTGTTCCAAGGTCGAGCATGCATCACTATTTACCTCTGTCCCACAGACAGGCCATGCAAACCTGTCTCAGTGTTCCCCTATCTATTTTGTTCTTCCGTCTCCTCCCACTTCTTGTATTGCCTTCCCCAACACCAGAACTAAACCCCCCACACCAACCCCATTGTTGTGGTTACCTTGTTGTTGTTGTTAAGTGCCGTTGAGTCGGTTCCGACCCTTAGCGACCCTGTATAGTGTTTCCTAGGAGCAGCTGGTGAGCTTGAACCATTGACCTTGCAGTTCAAACGCCTTTGCAGTCTGGCGCATTAACCCACAGTGCCACATCAGGTCTCCTGTGGTTACCTTATACTCCATTAATTCTTCCCTCTATTTAAGACCTTCTATTTTATCCTGTAATCTCTCTGACCTTCCCACCACCTGGATCTCTGTTTCTCTGTGTTTACCTTTTTTCACATTGTAATTGTTTTGATCGTAGACTGACCTCCCAGATCCTCTGTTCTTATAATTTTATTCTGTTTTTGATTCTTTACATTTGTCGATTGAGTTCAGGGTGATGCTGCCACGTCTGTCATTCTCTAGTTGTCTGTTCTTATTGGTTCTCAGTCCACAGAACACCAGTTTTAAGAATTGTATATTGTAAGGAGTGCCATGATTTATTTGACTAATTTAAATGTTATAAATTTTAAATATCCAGATATTCGATATTTTAAAATAATGCTATGCAGAACCTGCCCTTTTACTTGCAGTATTGCTGTCTATTTTGCAGGAAAGGCAACTTGCTCAGAATGAGGCAACCAGTTTCCCAAGCCGGGAGGCAGGGGGCAAGGGTGCACAATGTGTATTGGGGGAGGAAGGGACAGCCTCTTGTGCTCTGGTGAGACTCAGCCTCTGCTATCTCACCTGGGAACGGGAGGGAACCCTTTGAGAGACAGTGGGCAATCTAATGCTCTATCGCTCCTTTATATTTTAGTATGTGTTGTGTACAAGCAAGAACTTTCTACATAACCACAGTGGTGGTGGTGGTAAATGCAGTCCAGTGGATTCTGACTCATACTGACCCTGTGTAGGCTTTCCATGGAGTCACCACCACTAACATAGGGATCATCATTGATAATTTTCTACTCTCTAATCACCATACTTGCTGCAAGTTTTGCCAGTTGTCCCAATAATGTTTCCTGTAGTAAGTTGCTTTTATTTTTCATATCTTTCATTTCCTTTGATCTGGGACAGTCTTCCAGGTTTTCCTTGTTTTTATTTACAAACTTGGCACTTAGGAAAATGACAGGCCAGTTGTTTTATAGAACGCCCATCAATTTGGATGAGTTGCATTATTAGATTTAGATTGTCCATTTTAGGCAGGAATATCTAAGAAGTGATGCTGGGTTCTTGCATGCCGTCACTTAGCATATGATTTTCATTTGTGGCATTATTAATGAGAATTGCCTTTGATTAGTTAATTTATGGTAGCATCTTCCAGGTGTTTCCACTGTAAAATTATTTTCTTTCCACTGCAGTTAGTGTTTTGTGGAGAGATACTTTGAAATTATGTAACCAACTTTGTTGTGGTGGTGGTTATGTACTGCGGAGTCAGTTCTGACTCATAGCGACCCTGTACAGGGTTTCCAAGGCTGTAAATCTTTACAGGAGCAGAAAGCCTCATCTTTTTCCTGCAGAACCGCTCGTAGTTTC